AAAATAGACATCCAGTTGTTTTAAGACTGTCCTTTCTTAATATTGAAAAATAAATAAATATTAAAACAGGATTAAAATAAGTTAAAAATAATTAAATAAGATTTTAATAAATAAAATAAATATTATAAATATATATATTTATGACTAAATAATAATAGTAATAATAATTAAAAGTAAACATATAAAATTAACATATAACTAAACAATGAATAAAATTAAAACTATATATTTAAAATAAATAAAATTTGTAAAAAAATAAATAAAAATTGAAAATAGTGACTAAATTATAACCTAATAGAATTAACTACCTAATTCATAATTAATTATTTAAAATTACAAGGATTAAACATGTTGTTTTACTCATTTATTAATTTATGGACTAAAATAAAATTATATTAAATTCAAATGTCAAATTAAAATAAATTAAAACATGCTATTCAGATTAAAATATTAATTATTAAAATTAAAGGACTAAATCTGTTATTTACCCTACATATATATATATATACAGATAAGGATTAAAATAATATCAAATGAAAATATGAGACTAAATTAAAAAGATCAGAAAATAGTTCCAATGACTAAATTGCAATATTACAAATATATGGGGATTACGGGTATAGTTTACCTATTTGGGAAATTACACATGTACCCTCCCCAAAACGACGTCGTTTGGGGAGGGTTTTAAATACCCAAACGACCGGCCCTTATGGGCGATTTTTTTTCATTTCTTTCCTCTCTTTCTTTCTCTGAGAGAGAAAACTCTCTCTGTTCTCTCTAGACTTCTCCCCGGAGAGAGAGCTGACCACCGGCCAGCAGCCATGATCCGTCGCCAAGCACCGCCGCCGGCCACCGTGAACGGCGGCCGGAATTTACAAAACCATACCAAATCAAAGCTCTTTTAACCCTAAAGCCAAATCTGGTATTCTTTTCTCCTAAAACCTCATAGTATTTCCTAGATCTAAAGATAATACCTTCGGTATTTTAACGGTTCGACGACGTTTTGGAGGCCTCCGATGGTCGTGGTAAGTTTCTCTCCTCTCTCAGTTTATTTTTCATTGTTGGTTTGTTGTTGGTGTTGGTTCTCGGTTTTGTGTTGTTTTTGCTCTCTGTCTTTTTGTTGTTTTTGGTTCTCTGTCTCCTCCCTTTCTTTGTTGTAGGTGTGGTCGATGGCTTTTATAGCCATCGACGGTGTGGCTCTCGGACCAGTCCAAAGGGGGTACCTCGGTGAGTCATCAGACTATGGTGATGACTCGCCATAGAGCAAGCGACGTTGAGGGGTAGTTGGGTCTTCTGGAGCCTTCTGTTGAGGCGTCGTCGCAGAGTAGACCGTCGGCAGCATCTGGTTGGGTCACCTGGCAGTGGAGTGTCGGCAATGAGCGGCGGCTGAGGCTTCTGGAAGCTTGAGGCGGTGGCTGGAGCTAGGGTTTAGAAACCCTAGCTAAAACCCCAAATGTTTAGGGTTTCTATCTGGTCTGGGCCGGTTCTGTTTTGTTTGTAATTGGGCCGTGATTTGGGCTTTGTAATAATATTTATTAATAATAAAATAAAATAATAATAATAATAATTATAATAATAATAATAATATTCAAATGAAAAAAATGAGTATCTTCAAAAATCATCTTTAATACAATGTTTTTCTGAAATAAAAGAATCAACGAATTAATCATAATCTTTTATTAATATCAATATAACAAGTAGTATATGGTACTAATTAGCATTGTGTCTTCTATTACTTTTTTCCGTTTTATTTTTAATTAAAAACAAAAACAAAAAATAAGGGTATAAAATATCGAAAAATAGGAATTTTTGAGATACATAAAAAGGCATAATATAAAAAAATACATATGACGCTTAATCATATAGTTGTTTGATATCGTTTAAGCAAGATCTTGAGTTCGAATCCTTGTGTATGCAAAAAATCCTTGTTGTGAGACTCATCCATCAAAGTTAGATGTGCTACGAGGGTCGGTCCAGATTAATGAAGGTGAAACCTTGGAATCGATAGGGCAAAAAAAAATCGCTTTGGTCCTTATTTTTTTGAGTATTTTGACCCTTAATGTTTTGTTTTGAGACAAAAATATCCTTTTATGGATGGAACTATCACTTAACAAATTAATAATACTTCAAAATTATGATTTTTTATCCTAAAATAAAACTTTGAGAGTCAAAATACTCAAAAAAATAATAAAGGTCAATGTGAGCCTTTTTATCTTAAAATAAAATATTTAGAGTCAAATCACCTCAAAAATAATAATTAAAATAATATTTTGATAAATATCGAAGGCAAATTTTTACATTACATCTAAAAGGAAAAAAGACAGAAATATATATAATTTGGGGTTTGAAACGGATGGGTACTGTAAGGATGAGAATATGAATGTAAATGGAACAACAAACCCATGAAAATCTGTGTTCTGTCTTTGTGAAATCCTTTTGGTTTTAGTTTCTGTGAACATAGTTATGTGAACTTAGTTATGTGAGAAAATAAAGGAAGACAAATTAAACCCTATTATATTTGCCCTAACAATTCATTGTAAAGAAACCCTATTGAATTTTAAAAAATAAAATATTAGAGAGAGAGTATTTTGAAATTATTTTCATTTTTCTTTAAAAATCAATTTATATAATGGCCTGGAGTGACTAGCGGCGAGATTTGGGGAATCGTTACCCGCCGAAACATCAGTTTTAAAGTCGCAACAAATCTCTCCTTCCTCTTTGCTGATCGATTTATACGGCTAAATAACATGTTATAAAAAATGTTAATATTTTTTTAATATTTTTGATAAATATTAATTAAAATATTATTTTTTTATAAAAAATGTTAATATTGAGTTCTACTGGAAATTAGTTAGTGAAATTAAAATTTCCGGTAAAAAAATAATGTTTTAAGTATCACTTTACCGGAAATGTTAGAAAAATATTAAAATTTTCAGTAGGATATTTCATTGACCGTATATTAAGACTTTCGTATTTAATTTGTTACATCGAAACATCAAAATGTTTTCAACAAAATGCACAAACTATACTCTAAGTTAACTTTAGGTGCCTAAAGAATTTTTCGTTAAAATAGGTGCATAACATTTTCAATGTTATATTTTTAAGTGCATTTGCAGTAATGGTCGTTAAAAAACCATTCAGTGAAACGTGTCATTTTATATTTTTTGAATTTTTATTTTTTAAAAAACTTAATAATATTATTATTTTTAAACCATAATTCTCTAAAATTACAAAAGAAACTTGCAACCCTAAAATCTCTAATTTTATCCCCATTACTAGTTGTCGTCGGTCATCATCGGTAGCTTTTGTCATCGTCGAACAACCACTCACATGTTGTCGGACCTCCATTGCTAACCATCCCTCTTGTTGTCGTCTCAATCCCCTTAAATCCATAAATCAAACTTAAATCCCTATACATAATACTCAAATCTCAAACCCTAATCTCAAATTTATTATTATCACCTTAAATTAACTTTAGAGATTTATGAGGACGATAGAGGGGTGATTTGAATGCAACTAGGGAAGGGGGAGAATTTTTGCGTTGGCGGGAAGAAATAATTTTTTCCCTTAAACAAATATTTTTTAAATAATATTTTAACTTTTTAAGAATATATAATTTTATATTCTTAAAAAATATATAAACGCGACAAATGTCAAATAATGGTCGTTACAGCTTAGGCACCAAAAAATATAACGTCGAAAACATTAGACACATATTCTTAGCGAAAAATTCTTTATGCACCTAAAGTTAACTTGAGATATAGTTTGGGAACTTATTTTTTTATTAAACCAAAATATAAACATGACATGGGTCACTTAACGACTTTTTTTAATGACTATTACTGCGTAGGCACCTAAAAGTGTAATGTTGAAAACATTTGGCACATATTCTTAGTGAAAAATTCTTTAAGCACCTAAAGTTAACTTAAGATATAGTTTGAGCACATATTTCTGCATTAAGCCAAAATATAAACATGACATGAGTCACTTAACGACTTTTTTAAGGACTGTTACTACGTAGGCACCTAAAAGTGTAATGAAGAAAACATTAGGCACCTAAAAGTGTAATAGAAAAAACCTTATACACATATTTTTAACGAAAAATACTTTAGGTACCTAAAGTTAACTTAGGATATAGTTTGAGCACTTATTTTTGCATCGAACCATTTTTTTAATAGAAAATGACGAGTTTAAAACACAATAAATAGTCGGATGATCATTTTGTAACTTTTAGTAGTCGATGAACTTAACAAAGCAACACCCTATAATCAAGAGTCTATTTTGTAACTTTTAATAGTCGGGAATTTAATAAAATAATATCTTTTTTTAGTTGGGGATCATTTGTATACTTTACCCTTATCTTTTATTAAATATTTTTCCCCTCTTATACCATTCTACTTCGACTACCATTTTTCTTCAATTTGTTTGCTTCAATGGCTACCACATTATTCCCCAAACAAAAGGGAATTGTTTTAATATATATATATATATTAAAATATAAAATATTTGATTGAATATGAAGTTTTTCTTCCTCTTAGAATAAATAATTTGTTTATTTGAATTAAATTAATTTAACTTTGATTATTACTTTAATATATTTATTAAATTGAGAAAATAATATTGATAAAATTATTTTATTTTCTCATAACATATTTAAATTACACAATATGAATCAAACAATCGGGATATTGTTTTTCTTTAAAGGTTTTTAGTTTGAGTATGATATTTACATATATTTATTATTAAATAATCTTTCGAATCGATGCTATTTTATAATCATCTAAATTAATAAAAAAATCAGAAAAACGTTATTTTTATCTTTTAAATATAAAAATAAAATTCAAAACCACAACTCAGATATACTTTGACTAGTTGCTTTCATCCAAAACCAAACATCTCTTTAGGGGGGGGGGAGATTGAACTTTGATTTTTCATCTCTTCTTCAGCCATTGATAATCCCTGAGCTTTTATGCTCTTTTTGCTCAAAGATAAAGCAAGCAAGCAAACCAGTGTCTTGGTTTTGCAGTTTAGAGCTCTAAAGACAGCATATTTATGGGTATTTTCCGATGATTTCTGAGATAGCGTTTCTTCCAGAAGATCTTACTCTTTTTTTTTCTCTCTTTCGATCGTATTACTATTACCTCATGCTTTAGCTACGTGTTCTGTGCTTTGTTTTTTCCTTCTTAAATGACTCTGAGTATGGTGAAGTAAGCTAAAAAAATCTCTTGACCGAAACATTCTTTCTTCTTTTCTTTTACGTCTTCTCTTTTTCTTCTTCCCATGGATTCCGGTAATAGTGGTAGTTTGCAATCATCAAGTGGTGGCAGCGAAGAGTATGATTCACGCGTGGAGTCAATCTCAGCTTTTTTGAACCATAGCCCATTGAGCCATATCGGTCATGATCCTTTGGGTAACCAGACGCCGCCGCCGGTGCTACAGCAACCGCAGAGCCACTCTTCATCGACTATGTTCGACCCTTCATCATACTTAGATTATCATCCTTTATCAAGATCACTGCAACTTTCAGCAACAACGGGGAATCCGAGGTCGGTCCTTAATCTCGATGCGATTTGGTCAAAAGATCTAAGATCTGAGCCCAATTGCACTGACCTTAGTAGGTACATGACTGCGTCATCGGCGGCACTAATGACTCAACAACTGTTTGCCAACCAACAAGCACAGAGTAGAGCCACTTCTCCATTGTTGCAGGTCCCTCAAGGACCAGAAAGTTCGAACCAATGCTCGGTTTCCGCCACAAATAGCCAACCAAACAACAAGAGCAAGACGGTGCGTAATCCGAAGAAGAGAACCAGAGTTTCTAGGCGTGCAGCAACAACTGTTATGATCACAGATACCAGCAATTTCCGGGCCATGGTTCAAGAATTCACCGGGATCCCCGAGCCACCCTTCACCTTCTCACCTTTCCCGAGAGCCAGGCTCGATCTATTTGATCCACCTTCTTCCACTTTTAGATCAACCCATTTCGATCCTTCACCAGCTCCTCATTATCTTTTACGACCATTTTCTGAAAAAATCAGTCCTCCACCTCTTCTTAGCTCATCAATGGCTGACGCTATAGTTTCTAATCCAAGAACTAACAACAACAACAACAACAGAAACACTAGTTCTAGTTCAACTTCCATTAACTACCAACTACCGTTCGAGTTAGGCCATTTAAAGAAGACTCAGAATCTACTCAACATCAACATGCAAAACCCGATTCTTAACTTTCAACCTCTCCTTCAAACCCCTCAAAAATACTCACTTTCCGGTTCAAACATTCTCGGAACAAAGTCACGCGAGTCATTGGAATTCTCTCTCAAAATGGGTGCTTTAGAAGAGTTTGGATCGAGCCAAGGCCATGCCGATGCCAGCCTCGCCGACCTTCAAAACATGGTATCTTCACAAGAACATGATCAGAATCTCCTACGTTCCATGAATGGGAAAGTGAGCAACTTGTCGTCGTCTCCGTCGGATTTTCATGGGGATAAAGGGCCGGAACATGTGGGTTCCAGAAGTGAAGGTATGGTGGAATCATGGATATGTTCATCAGATTAGGAGTATCTAAATAATTTCATCAAAGAAAAAAAAAGTTTTCAAAACTGAGAAAATCTGAACAAAGAATTCAAGGAAATGATGGTGAATATTTTTCACAATGATGCACGAAAGAGATGGAATCTTTCTTGTTGATTCCCATATTAACGATGAAATATTTTAAAAATTCAACCCTATTTTGTCTTCCTTTCTGATCTTTTAGGTTTAACCCTCTACTTTTAATTTGATTATATGGCTATGTAAATAATACTCTCTCGATTTCATATTAATTTTCCCATCGTATTATTGTTTTCATCATACTCAGATTATTATGGCATTCCTTATCTATATTCTCTTATTTAAATGAAAATCATGTTTAATACAATGTTTTTCTGAAATAAAAGAATCAACGAATTAATCATAATCTTTTATTAATATCAATATAACAAGTAGTATATGGTACTAATTAGCATTGTGTCTTCTATTACTTTTTTCCGTTTTATTTTTAATTAAAAACAAAAAATAAGGGTATAAAATATCGAAAAATAGGAATTTTTGAGATACATAAAAAGGCATAATATAAAAAAATACATATGACGCATAATCAGATAGTTGTTTGATATCGCTTAAGCAAGGTCTTGAGTTCGAATCCTTGTGTACGCAAAAAATCATTGCTGTGAGACTCATCCATCAAAGTTAGATGTGCTACGAGGGTCGGTCCAGATTAATGAAGGTGAAACCTTGGAATCGATAGGGCAAAAAAAAATCGCTTTGGTCCTTATTTTTTTGAGTATTTTGACCCTTAATGTTTTATTTTGAGACAAAAATATCCTTTTATGGATGGAACTATCACTTAACAAATTAATAATACTTCAAAATTATGATTTTTTATCCTAAAATGAAACTTTGAAAGTCAAAATACTCAAAAAAATAATAATAAAGGTCAATGTGAGCCTTTTTATCTTAAAATAAAATATTTAGAGTCAAATCACCTTAAAAATAATAATTAAAATAATATTTTGATAAATATCGAAGGCAAATTTTTACATTACATCTAAAAGGAAAAAAGACAGAAATATATATAATTTGGGGTTTGAAATGGATGGGTACTGTAAGGATGAGAATATGAATGTAAATGGAACAACAAACCCATGAAAATCTGTGTTCTGTCTTTGTGAAATCCTTTTGGTTTTAGTTTCTGTGAACATAGTTATGTGAACTTAGTTATGTGAGAAAATAAAGGAAGACAAATTAAACCCTATTATATTTGTCCTAACAATTCATTGTAAAGAAACCCTATTGAATTTTAAAAAATAAAATATTAGAGAGAGAGTATTTTGAAATTATTTTCATTTTTCTTTAAAAATCAATTTATATAATGGCCTGGAGTGACTAGCGGCGAGATTTGGGGAATCGTTACCCGCCGAAACATCAGTTTTAAAGTCGCAACAAATCTCTCCTTCCTCTTTGCAGATCGATTTATACGGCTAAATAACATGTTATAAAAAATATTAATATTTTTTTAATATTTTCGGTAAATATTATTTAAAATATTATTTTTACCATAAATATTAATATTGGACGCTACCAAAAATATTTAATATTTATAGTAAAATGTTACTTAAAATATTATTTTTCTATAAAAAATGTTAATATTGAGTTCTACTAGAAATTAGCTAGTGAAATTAAAATTTCCGGTAAAAAATAATATTTTAGGTATCACTTTACCGGAAATGTTAAAAAAATATTAAAATTTTCGGTAGGGTATTTCATTGACCGTATATTAAGAATGTCGTATAACAGAACTACCCTCCTCTTTGAGTTTGTGCTTCGTTTATATATTATATTATTTGATATCTTTTATAAGACATTATCTATTTGAAAAATTCTCAATTATTTGATAATAAACACTTAAATATTTATGCAAATGTCGTGTTTTAACTTAAGACCTCTAGACTCTAGGTATAACAATTATCTCTCTAACTACTCGTTTGATTCATGTAACTATTTTATTATTTTTTAGTTATAATTTATAGTAATCATTTATAATTCAAATATGTTAATATAAAATATTAAATTGATGCAAAAACACGATTTAGATGGTAAAGAAATTATTGTTATTGGTTAAGGTCTTATGTTCGAGTACTATAAATGTATGGGGATGTAAGCGTTTGGCGTCAAATGGTTGAGAGTTACCTTGAACAAATATTGTCTTCTACTTACTCCAAATTAATAAAAAAACTAAATTGATAAATTAAAATTTAATCTTAATTAATCGATTAATATATCAGATATCAGAAATTAATTCAAAAAATTCAGAGTTTCCCGCTAAGGGGTTAGAATATTTTGGAGACATTCAAATCCCAGAGAAAATAAGCAAGTAAATCGGAAAACTGTTTAAGATTATCACGAAGTATGGGGAAATATGATTGCATTAAAGGGTCTTATTTCTAAAAAGTTGCTCATCTTTTTCATGTTATTGATTGATAGATTTTGACTTTTTTTTTTACTATCATTTATACAAACTTTCACATTGATGGTTCAAATTTTGAATGATGAGAAAGGGGGTGTCTGGTTTCAATTTTTTGAATCTTTTTGAAAGATGTGATCAATTGAGTCACCAATGATTTGATGATTACATGAGGGTCAAATTATAATAAATTTTAATTTTTATACATGTTTTATTCGATAGACTATAATTGTATTTTAATTGTTTATAATATATTTATTAGTATAAGTTATTATTAAGTAATTTAAATTTAAAATAATATTATTTATTATAAAAAAATGTTAATTTTTTATTAAAAAGTAATAATATGTCGGAGTGTCAAAATATATTTTTTGAGTATACTTTATTTGAAAATATGCAAAATTAATAACAAAATTAAAATAATTGTGTAAATCAAAATGATTTTGATATTATTACTACTAATCAATAAAATCCATTTATATTAGTTACTTATTTTTATTGAATAAAATATGTTAATAGTTTTCTTTTTAAAATTAATCACTAATCTCCGAACTATTGATCGACTAATTATATCAGATTTTACAAAGATCCATTATGGAGGTGACCCGTCCAACAAATGTCAGGATTCAAAATTTTAACATTACTTAAGGAATTCATTACCTCATCTCACTAGACCAACTGGTCGTTGGTAGTAGCCTTTCGATTGCAAGATAATTTTTGTTATGATTCCTTATTATAGAAATTATAAAATGATCGTTTAATTTTTAAAAAGTAATAGTTTAATATATATTTTTGTTAAAAAATTAATAAAAAATAACGTGATAATTAATAAAAAATTATATGATAATAAATTTAGGTCTCAAATTTTACATCATATTAATTTGGCCTAAATTATAAAAATTAACCCTTTATTCTAAACTAGTGGACTAACTGTATATTTTACCATTTATTCTTTCTCTTTGAAGTTTCAGTTTCCATTTTCCAACAATTTTCCGATTATCTCTCTAACTTTCAGCAATTGTTGATGAAGACTGAAGGTAATGGCAGCAAAATTGAAGATTGATGAATGTTTCATTATTGATTTTTTGAAGTTTTTTTATGAGATAAAATGTAAGATTGAAGTAACTTTGTAAGATTAGTTAATTTAAGAGTTTCAAATTATATTTTCGAGGAAGAGAAGGGGGAGCGGTGGCGAAGGGGATGACCACTTTCTCTTCTTACATGTGAACACATTTAAGGTCGTTTAATGATGTATCACTAAACAACACATAAACTTTCTTAAATTCGTGTTGAGTTTTATTTTGAGACAAAAAGATCATTCTATTAATGGAAATCCTTAACTAACAAACAATTAATGTTTCAAAATATATGTTTTTTGTATCCTAAAATGAAACGTTGAAGGTTAAAATGCTCTAAAATAAAAGAATAAAAGTAAAAGTGATAATTTTATCAAACGTTAGAAGTCTTTTTACCTTAAAATAAGACATTGTGAGTCAAAATAATCTAAAAAAATAATATAGACCAAAAGTAATCATTCTGATAAACTTTATAGGCTAATTTTAGAATTGTGCCTACATTAAAATCTTGTATTGTTTGTCTTTTATTTGTTTTAATCTTTTTCTCATCATATATATATATATATAAAAGAACAAAAGTCAAAGAATCAGGGGACAGCAGGAGAGATAGGGTGTGTGTTGTGACCAATAACACTTTGATTTAGCCATCAAAGTTGCCCATACCTACCGACTAGCATTTCTTGCTTTTTGCTCTTTCGTAATGATGGCTCTTCCCTTTATTAAGAAACTGAATATGAGACTGTATATGAAAGGGATATATTGAATACGTGGTTTGTACATTTTCTGATACATCACTTTTATAGTGAACAATGCAGGGCTATCAAGCTTAACCAATTATAACAGACTAACTAACTTTGGCGCCCAATGATAACTGTCTGATGGTTATACTATAATGCTAGCAAGAGCATAGTAAGTCTTGCTATAGCCTAACATTCTCCCTACTCTTCTCATTTTTTTCGAGCAAATCTACTACACTCCTGGCATTACACATATACTGCGACGAAACTCTTCAAACGCAGATTTTGAGAGGGGCTTAGTAAAACCATCTGCTGTGTGATGTGCAGCTGGTATGTAGTTGATTTTTAGAAGACCTGCAGCCACTTTCTCTCGGACAAAGTGAATGTCCAGGTCTATATGCTTTGACTGTGCATGGTACACAGGATTAGCACTCATAGCCACTGCTCCGGTGTTGTCACACCAAATCACCGGCTCCCTCCGTTGTTGAATCCCTAGGTCTGCCAGCAAAGAACTTGTCCATGTAACTTCAGCAACAGCATCAGCAAGACACTTGTATTCTTCCTCCATAGTAGAACGGGACACCGTTTTCTATTTCTTTGAGCTCCACGCAACAAGGCATTTCCCAACGAACACACCATAACCGGAAATTGACCGTCGATCATTAATGTTTGCGCCCCAATCTGCATCTTCAAAAGCTGACACAGACAATTCTGCCTCACTTGCTTGGAACATTAACCCATAATTCATAGTTCCAACCAAGTATCGAAGTATACGCTTGACTGCAAGCCAATGTGGTTCACGTGGTGCATGCATGAATTGTGCCACCTTGCCAACACTGTAGGCTAAATCAGGACGTGTATGGCACAAATAGAGCAAGG